TTATAAACAAAAAAAATATGATTGATAAAGTTGGTTACCTCGTAATTATCAATAATCGTCTAAAGTGGGTATTTCGCAACCATCTTTTTCCTTTGTCACGTCCATTAATATCAAACCTTATCATCAAAATTATATTATTGTTTTGTTTTGTTTTTGTTTTTGATAACTCAATCATCTCATCATTAGTGCTTTTTGATTCCTACATCAACTGATACATTTGTCGCTTGGAGCTTAGCCTAGGCTTGGCTTAGATAAACATTCAAACACGTGGACGACAAGTCTTTTATGGGGATCTGAGTTTCGAAAGGGATACATGAACTCTGCTACTTCAGTTTATTATATAGGTTTCTTATCTGTAGTTAGTACCCTTAAGAAATTTTGAAATAATTTCTTAATAGTTTCAAGTAATTGTTTTTGTAAAGAAAATATTCCATATGACTATTTGATATTTCGTTATGTCGTCACAAAATTAAAGTTACGGTCTGACTTTCGGAACTTTAAGCATCAATATCTATTACTTTTCATCAGAAGTTACGTTCGAATCCTTAATTAAGAATATAGTGTAATGGTTTAATACAATAGTCGATTTATTAACAATGGAGTTTTTATTTATGATAATGTTTCTGCCCTTATTGAAGATAAGTATTTTTATTTAAGGCACCTCACACTGATTAATTAACCAATTTTTGTGATAATATATACAGTATGTAGGTGTAAAACATCATAAGTGCATTTTAGTAAAAGTCATACACTAGCGATCATAAGTAGTGCAACAAAAAAAAATTTTACTTAGATCATACTACCTCACGCAATTCCGGGCATATCACAGTACAAGAACCAAAAAAAACCTAAATACTTTACTAATCCAACTATTGTAACCCATGAGTTTGAATATAACAATGAACTCAAAACCTGAGTACCGAACATATTAAACACTTAGATCCATACAAAAAACCTGTCTGTTACCAGATCTAACGAATCAATTCCTATAAAATCTAATACGCAAGACATAAAAGTATTAAAGATCTATTCTTAACATAATAAATTGAACAGCAATAAAAAGTTCTTGATTATGTAAAATTTACGTTTTGATTGTTCATTTTGTCGTTTTCAGTTAATAATTTCAAGTATTTAACACTTATATACAGCCAATCTAGTAATAAGTACCGGTAAGTAAAATAGTAAAATCTTCACTTCTAAGTGAAGTTCTCGATTGTTTTTGATTATTTTTACATAATGAATGTTGACACTTCTCCGCACGTTCAGTGGCATTTACGATGATTTTTAGTTAGTGAAACGTTACGTTCTCAAAAAGTACTTTAAAAAGTGCATAAATAAGTTACCCGGGCAATTGGTTTACACCAGCCAATCATACGAAAGTCTTTCTATGAAGTTTAACCGGTTTCAATTGAAATTAGTCAAATATAGATCGACATACAGAGACTAAAAAACTGTAATAGTTATTAAATCAACTCTAGATCGTAACAAAGCCATGTCTGATATTACGGTATTATAGATTAATAACTGAACTCTTGAATTCAGATTTAATAAATTTAATCCTAATGAATCTAGAAAATCCAGATTTTCTGTCTTGTTTTAGGAGACACTGTCAGCAGATCTTTCCCGATCGATATTGACAAAAGCACAATATCCATTGGGCATTTAAAAGAACTTATTAAGAAGAAGAAGGATCCATATTATAATAATATTTCAGCAGTCAAATTTGAACTATGGAGTGTGGACATTCCTATTAACCTAGAAAATATAGACACAAAAATATATGAAGAAAAAATTAGTGAATACAAAGGTGTGAGGTTGCTCCCAAACGCTGTTGTAGAAACAGTTTTGTCTGAAAATAATAAAAATAGCATTCGTATACTTGTACAACCACCAGCTACCACTGGTAAATATTTTGACTTTAATGAAATTTACTAGTGATGTTTATTGATTCTATTCCTTTCTTGATCTTACTCTCACATCTAAAATCGCGCATAGGTATAGCCGTACAATCCAAAGGAGTATCAAGACTAGGTATGAAGATATGGTTTTTGACTTCGTATCAATTATATTTATTTTGTTTTATTTTACATTGAATAGGAGGCCTTGGCGGGACAAATATGAAAAGAAAAGAAGATGGCCTAGGTTATGAGGGTTTAGACCTCACACACATAGACAATATATGTCAAAGAAAACAAACTATCAATAAATTGATTGATGATCTGTTGAAAAAGCGTATTATTCTAGTTCGATCACCTCCAATGGCCGGAAAAACATCACTTGCGCAATTATTGGAACATAACATTCTTCAATCGGATGAAGTAAAGAATGGATTAAGATGTGTTTTTCGAATTTCACTGATGTGGATGATTAAACGCGGAATGGAATGGACTTTCGCTGAAGGATTTAAAACACTCATGAATATGGAATGGGGTGAATTTATACAATTATGTAAACATAGCGATATTGGTGTAGTTTTGATTGTTGATGAAGTACAGTTGATTTATAAGCCGCATAATGAAAGTGAGCCTCGCAATGGAGGAGGTATATTTTGGGATACATTTAAAGAAGTTAAGCAATATTTGACAAATCTTTGTATAGTAGCATTTGCATCATACGGTTATTATGGTTCTTACACTAGTTACGGAGATCATTCAGCTATGGATATTTCACCACCTTCTATTCTTTGTAAGGATAATACATGGGATTTTTCGGATGTCTGTTTTACTGATGAAGAGTTTGACGACTACTTTTACCGATTTTGTGAAATGCGTCTTCATATGTTGAAAAAAGGTGATATTCCATTTCTACATAATTATGTGCGTGAAATAACAGCCTATCATCCTGGTTTAATTACTTTTACAATGGATGAAGTTTACAAAAGATTTGTCAAAAAGACCTCAGAGCTTGAATTCGGCGATATTTTTGCCTTCCTCAAATCCTATGAGTTTTATTCTCATCTTAAAGTAAATATATATTATAGTAAAGTGGTCGCAAAAAAGATCCGGAAAAATAATATACAACAAATTCCTTCAATAGTATAAGACTATTGTTCATGGTAGATGATTGTTCGCAAAGTTACAATGATACCTCAAGAATGGCTGGTTCACTTTTATAATGCAGGTTTAAATGAATGCTAACATCCATAGTATTCGTTTAAAACCAACATTATTGAAGACGGATTAGCCATTCCTGAAAAATCAACAATATACTAACAGAATAATTACTTATCTCCACTGATTTCTGGCTCTAATTTTGATGTTCAACACTGTTTGATGGCTATATTTCGAGAACAGCTGATCCATTTTCTATAATGTTCGATTTGAACGAACCTTACAGTTAGTAGCATTCGGATAAGCACAAATCATAGAAATCGGATCAGTAGTTCGCAAGTTATAAAAAGATACATCATTTTTGCGACCACTATCATTATAAATTATTGATAAATGATAAAGTATTATTGGTGATTTACATTCTGTACACTTTTTCAGTGCATCCGTGCAACACCACAAGTTATTGATATGTCAGACGAGGAAAAAAAAATTGTCGATAAAGTACTTTTCAAAAAAAGTCTTAAAATTCAAACCAACAGAACTCCATATAATAGTCGAATTATTAAGACGAATGTTCTTGTTGATATTGGAAAGACAGTAGGTCGTTCAACCCTTAACTTTCCAGCACCATTACTTATGGCTACATATCTTCAAGATCGTTTCGGTCACATTACACGTTCTATATCACCACCTAAGACACTTGAAGATTTTATAAAGTCTGTGTTTGCGATCATGAACCCCAAAATATTACAAAATAGCAAAGGCAGAAGTAAAGATGGTAGACTATTTGAACGTGTCTGGCAAATGGAATTTTATCGTGCCTCATTACAAGTTCTCCCTGATGATATTTATCCTTCCGTTGATGTTGGAAAGGTGTTTAGATCAAAAGGATATGTGGATTTTTATATAAATGATAATCGTAATTGGGCTATTGAATTATTACGAGATGGGGAAAAGTTGGATCAACATAAAGAAAGGTTTCAGAAAGTTGGCATATATGGTCCTATTCTTAAACATACGAAACAGTGGGCAATTATTGATGTCCGAAATAATAAAATGAAAGCTCCAGCACTAGAAAAGCGTGAACAAAACGAAATCTATGCTTTTTTTTCTGAAAACTTTGAATTCGTTCAGTTGGTGTATCCTAATGGAACTAAGGAGGATATTCGGTTGTTAGGTGAAGAAAATTTACTTGGATACGACATATCAGAATTTTTAGATGATTCAATGGAAATTGACTGATATCAAACTGTTCCACTCGATCTTTCATCATGCCTACATAATACAGTAATAAAACCTTTTATTATTGGATTCAGTTTAGAATGTATCATGCAAGATTTAATATGATAACAAAAGTTATATTCAAATAAAATCAGCCTTAGGGCTTTCAACTTAATACTGAAAATTTTGATTAATAATACTAATAATTTAATTAAAACACGTTATTAGTTAATTATATAAATTATAAGCACTATATCCAAACTTACCGATACATTAGTTGCAGCTATGTCGACAATATTCAAAAAAACACCAGCGTCGCCAATAATCGAGGGGGTAGTCATATGGTTTCCAAAACTCTTGGTTTTTATCAGATCTGACATAATCCTCACGATGTTAATTATGCAATTTGTTGTTTTTTATAACGAATGTTTACAACAAACTTTCTTATACCGGATTTTTAAGGCAATTTATTATACGTATTGGCGTAGAAACAGTAAATTACTCTATAAGAAACTTTTAATTATAGGATCACCAGTTCATTATAAAGAGAGTCGACGTATTTTATTCATATCTACACAAAAAAAACAATAACATGAACTTTTTATGTATATAATTTGGGTAAAATATTAAATAAATTCAACCCTTAATAAAAAAACACGATATAATTATGGGAATTTACAAATAAGGGCCCAAAAACGAAAATAATTACAAATACGGGCCCAAATGAAAATAATTACAGATAGAGGCCCGATATTTGAAAATTATTACAAATAAGGGCCCAAATATATCGTTAAAATTGCTAGCCGATTTTAAAAATAATCATTCCCTTAACTTCTATAGTCAAAGAAAACTTGGTTGTCAAAGATTTAAAAATAAGGAGAGATGGATTTGAAACACAGGAAATTTAAATTCGACAAAGGCTTTAAAATAAGAAAGCTATTTTTTGTTGTGGTTCATTATCCTATTGAGTTCTAATAGTAGTTTGATATAAAAGATGAATATTTTATTATTTATTTTTGATCAATAAATATCTTAATTTGTAGCGATAGAATATCAAGAGAAATATTAATTTTTGAGTAATTTGAATGCTTCTTGTGCACCATGATCTTTTACATTTCTATATTTTTTTATCCATAAAATTGCATCCGGGAGACCAAAATTCCCAGCTTCAACAATTTTCCTATTACCTTTATCAACGTCTTTAAAGGTCCAATTCCGTCAATCTGCCAGAATGAATATGGGTGCCTCATATTCAAAGGATCCATTTTGACATATAAACAATTTTGAGTAGATTGATCTTCAAATAGAAACATATACTTTAAGTTTATTTGGTGAATCTTATTATTACATAAAAACTTTTTATTGAATATATCTATTCAAAAATCAAATTAAAAAAAACTTTCGAAAATTTGTCAAAAAAGGCCCTTTTAATATAAGGCATTTTTCAAGGATCGTTTTTTAATTCATTTTCATCATCAAGCCAATTATTAATCACTTAAATTCGGAGGTATTTATATCAAAAGTTTTTCTAGCAAATTTTGGTCGCAGTCCATTGTAGCAAATATTTATCATAAGATTATCATCAAACGAAATTTATTAAAAGCACTTTTCAGAAAATATTTCTATCATAATTTCACCAAGACCATAAATATCTACATTTTGCGCAAATAGTCATTTTCTTGATAAGCTTATTCTTTAGAGATAATATGGGGTTGATTCAATAGAAATCAAGCAAATTTTTTCTAAGTAAATTTTTTTTAAACTTTAAACAACAATAACTCAACAAAAACTCAGTCAAATTTACTAAAATTTTTTTAAAATAAATTCTACAAACTTATAGAATTTGTTTTAAAAATTTTATTAAATTTGATCAAGTTTGGTTAAATTATTAGTGTATAAAATTTTAAAAAAATTTAATAAAAATAATTTGCTTGAATTATATTGACTCACCCTCATATATTAAGATAGATTTTGATTAAAATATAATAGTAAATATGAAAACTTTTTGTTAACTTTATCAGATATAGAATTTCTAATACTGAAATAAAACTCGACAATTTAGCCAATATTGATCCGTAGTATTATTAATATCTTCTACATATACATTTATAAACATATTTTCCTTAATGCCACCTTAAGGAAGTCTAAAAATTTGCCGATTTCATAAAATAATTGAAGCACTAAATTAATTGCTTACCCGACATACACAACATCTGTATACGTCATCTGGATATAATGGTATTTTTTTTAATTTTTGAACCTATAAATATGAAAATACCTATTCTGTTTTTTTTTCTGTTTTTTTTTCTGGGGTCCAAATAAAATTAATATTTCTTTTATCGATTGTAAATATACATTCTGTTTGTATGTGACTTTCAGCATGCAAATATATTGGATCCATTTTCCATGATTGGGATTCATCATTCCATGACTTTGTAATTGATGGTTCATTATAAAAACATATATACTTCACATCTAATCTAGCTTTAAGCCTGGAATCAAACTTACTGAGCCCTGAGTTGAAAACAGAATGTTCAAGAAATGCATAATAAGATATTAAACGTCTTTGATGATAAAGTACAGTACGTTTTCCATCTTTATCAGCATTTTCAAAAGCAGAACTTTTAATGAGTTTGAATTTTTAGAGGTTATTATTAACTTTAAATCAAGAAATAATTTTTTTGCCAAATAATAAATAATATTTACATACCTCATAAATGAGATAATCACATTTTGTAATATAATAACAAATGCAAGATTCCCAATCACACCAAGTATGATGAGAGGCCAAAAACCCCAAGTATCTAATGAAATTGAATCCCAATTGTATACTGCAATTATAGCACTAAAAAAATCTGAAAACGAATTAACTACATTTCCAGATATAGTATAAATCACATCACTTCCATTAGAAATTTCATATATTGTTGGAGATTGACTTAATCCAATATATGTTGCATATCCAAGAAAAATGAATCTATATTATATTATACAAGTTAATTTAAAAATTTGATAATTTTTGGTCATGTACAGTATATATCTAAGTCATAAACTTACAATGCATGCCCCTAATAAGAGATATACAGTAAAGAATTAAGCATATGTATGATAAAATGCATAATATGATGAATAAATAATAAAACATTTACCATGGCAATTATGGTTAAAGCAAAAAATAATAAAAACAATCGTATATGAATAACAATATTGTAAAGTATATTTAGGTAATGTGCGAAACCTAAAATCAATGTATATGTATATGAACTTGTGCAAACTTAAACCAAAATATATAATTAATACGTATATGCTGTATAATACCTGGGAAAATACGTAATGATACAATCTGATAACATCGAACAAAAAAAAAAGTATAATAAGTACAATAAGCAGCAAAAAGCCCGTTTTATAAAGTGTAACAGAAATAAAATCATCATAAATTATATACTTACAAGTTCATACCAAATACCTAAAATGCTTATAAAAACAATAAATGCCATAGATAGACTGCTTTCAGCATATTTAAATCCATCCTCAAAAGTATAAGAGTGAATTAAAATATAAAGAGAAACAGAGACTGTCAAAAAATACGTAGCAATGTCTACATAATTAAAAAGATCTGTATAATATCTCCATTTTTTATGAAGCAATTGGTTAAATTCAATTGTGATATGATAATAAGCTAAATAAAAAAATAATACTATGTTCAAAACAGACATGTATCGAAAAAGTCCAGTAACTTGAACGTGTGCGATATACATCC